GTCCGCCGCAGGGTCACAGTGTCGCCCCGTCTCGCCCCTAGGAGGACATGGCGGCGCACGTGGGGGCGTCGCGCACGCCGCAGGAGGTGATGGAGCACTACGTGAGCATGTACATCCACGGCAACCTGGGCAAGGCCTGCATCCCCGACACCATCCCCAACCGCGTCACGGACCACACGTGCCCCAGCGGGGGGCCGCTCTCGCCCAGCCTCACCACGCCGCTGCCGCCGCTCGACATCTCGGTGGCCGAGCAGCAGCAGCTGGGCTACATGCCGCTGCGCGACGACTACGAGATCGAGTACGACCAGGACGCCGAGACGCTCATCAGCGGCCTCTCCGTCAACTACGATGACGAGGACGTGGAGATAGAGCTGAAGCGGGCGCACGTGGACATGTATGTGCGGAAGCTCAAGGAGAGGCAGCGGCGCAAGAACATTGCCCGCGACTATAACCTGGTGCCTGCCTTCCTGGGCAAGGAGAAGAAGGAGAAGGAGAAAGCTCCCAAGCGCAAGATCACAAAGGAAGAGAAGGAGCCGAGGCTGAAGCTGCGGCCCCTCTATCAGTTCATGTCATGCAAGGAGTTCGAAGACTTCTTTGAGAACATGCACAAGGAGCGAGTGCTGCGGGCAAAGATCCGGGAGCTGCAGCGGTATCGGCGGAATGGGATCACCAAGATGGAGGAGTCGGCGGAGTATGAGGCAGCAAGGCACAAACGGGAAAAGAGAAAGGAAAACAAAAACATAGCAAATGCCAAGAAGGGCAAGGAAGATGGGAAAGAAGGAGAATTTGCTGCCATTGAAAACCTGCCTGGGTTTGAACTCTTATCGGACAGAGAAAAGGTGCTCTGCAGCTCCCTGAATCTGAGCCCTGCACGCTATGTAACTGTGAAAAGTATAATCATTAAAGACCACCTCCAAAAGAGACAAGGAATCCCCTCAAAGAGTCGCCTTCCCAGTTACTTAGATAAGGTACTGAAGAAAAGAATTTTAAACTTTTTGACAGAAAGCGGTTGGATATCCAGGGATGCCTCATGAAATTCAGCTCACCTGAAAACCCCCTCCAAGGTGCCCTGTGGCCTCGAGGACTTCGTTATTTTTTTTTTAATCTTCTCTCCCCAAAGATTCAGAAATTCTCCCGCTTAAATGAAAGAAGTGAAGCAACCCCCCCGCACCCGTGATCCGTGGTTCAGATGGACTCGTGCCTTGGATAGTGGCAGCGCTGAACCACGCTCCCTCTCTGTCATTTCCCTGGTGTGGGTGCACTGTTATGACAGGTTTCTTCCTTGCGTAACCCAGCCCAGCTGGCCCAGGGCAGTTCCTTGGCTGCTGCTGGACACAGTCTTTGCTTTTCTGAAGGTGGGAGAGGGCTTCTGGCGAGCGAGACGTTGATTCCCTTAGTTTTGTCCCACTGGGCCCGCGCGGCGCCTTCGTGTCCCCGCGTCGTGGGAAGCAACTTGGGGCTGCCCCCTGCCTGTCCCGGGGCGGATCCGAGCTGATCCGGGCGCCTGGAAGCCTCGGAGTTAACTAATGGGCAGCAGGTTTGGAAGTGGGGTTTTCCTTAGGGATTTGGCACTAGTTAAAGTGGGGAACCGGGGCCAGGAACGGGGCTGGGACAAGGATGCAACGGGCTCTTTGCAGCAGCTGGGAGCCTCGGGGCAGAATCCCTGTCTGCTGTTTTTACCTCATGAGAGGGAGAGTCTCCTCCATTGCCTCCTCCTTTCCCATCCGTGGTTTCTGAGCTCTGATGGTCTGGTTGGAAGAGCTGCCTGCTCCAGAGTGTGTTGGAGAGACCCAGGGAAATGCTCCGAATTGGGCGCTGTTGGCGCTGAGCAGGCGCTGCGGGGCATGGGCTGAGGCAGGGGCTTGCAGCCGGCCCCGCGGAAACTGCACGTGGCTTCAGTGACGCCTGCTGTGACGGCAACGAGGCCAAGAGGTAGGAAGGGATTTTGAGATGCATTTAATTCTTTAGTTCCTGTGCTAGAAATGAAACAGATGAATAAAAAGATGGGGGGGTGGCACGTGGCAGCAGGCACGGGGGTGTCTGTAACTCGTTTAACTCTGTTCTTGTTTTTCCTTTCCCCTGGCCTTTTCCAGAGCAGGAGAAGGAGAGGCTGGGTGGGCAGGTCTAGAGCACAGCGAGGCTGAAGGACAGAGCTTGACCCACTGGAACAAACAGGAGCAGCAGAGATGCAGCCTTGGCTGGGTGCTCTGCACTGCGCCCGGTGAGGCAGCCACCAAGTGTCACAGCAGTGTCAGCTCTGCCCCTTGCCTGAGGTTTCCTGCTGGGGGCTGCGTGGGTTTCCATTAGTTCAGGTATCCAGCATTACCAAACCAGTGTTAGCAGGGAGTGTGGAACACGAGGAGTGCAGTTGTAAACCAGCATGTGTAAGGGGAAAACAAACTCTAGTGCCTTTTTCTTTTGCGCTTGTGTCGTTGCATCCCTTCAGAAAGGAAAGGGCTGCGTCCTCTCCTCTGTGCTGGTCACTCGGCTGGGCCGGCCGGGGCTCTGCGTGGGATGCCCGGGGTGCCTGTGTGCCCGCGGCGGCT